GCCCCCATGCAAAAACATTTTTGGGCCCCCTACTAAGTTTACAGTACTTTTAAGGTGGGTAAGGGGGTGGTTATATATTCTGCCAATTGCAATAAAAAAATGAAGTGCACAACTAGCTATTATAGCACTCCCATATGGCCCACCAGCGGCGGAGCGGTAAAGTCGCTGAACACTGGTAGTTCGGTCCGAGGTTCGAATGCCGCGAACGGGCTGGCTGCATGGGTGTTTCGTAGTTTTTCCCATGTGGAACGTGTATACGAGCCAGTTTCCCTTAGAAAGTCCTCCAAGAAGATATCCCTTCCCTTAGGCAGATAGCCCTAGTGTGCTTTGCCATAATTAAATACACCATTGCAGCACTCCCATATACAAAATTTCAACGCTCTACGGCTTTAAGTTATGCGAGATATATATCTCTATCTCTCTGTACACATACGTATGCACGTATATGCGAACGTACAGATGTCACGAAAAAAATCCCTTTTGAATCCGTTTTAAACCCATTTCATAATCCTTTTTGAAAGGAAGAGCCCTTTATTCTGTCCGTAGGTACATATGTCACGAAAACAAACCTTAGAAATGGATTTGAGAACGGTCAAAATGGATATTTCCATTGAAATATGATACCCGATATTTTGGTATATGTAACACTGAATTCAAATTTTATGGGAGCACCTTGCCCTTGGTCATAGTACTTATAAAAGCATGCGTATTTTTTTAAAGTTTAATCATGTGAATGTAGTCCAGCAGAACATTCAAGAGCTCCTTAAGCCTTCGGGCCCTTATGCGACGGCACTTTTTGCATACCCTTATTTGGGCAACTGCTTCTATTGGAATTATTTTTCCTTAAAAATCGTGAAATCTTGATTTCGGTCAAGTGTTCAATTTGAGATTTAAATAAATTCCCTGTTTCGTAAACTCCATTACGTAATAAATCATTCCAACCGATATTTTTCTTCCATAAATGCTGCGAATGCATTTATGGAAGCATTTATGCTACGAATGCTAATTTCAAATACATCTTAGGATTTATAAATGCTAAGATGATAAGTTATAAATGCTAAGATGTAATTTCAAATACATCTTATCATTTATGCTACGAATGCATTTATTATTCTTAGCATAAATTCTAAGATGAATTTTGTAATGAAAGTTTTATTCGATTACATCAAGATTCAATAATTCAAGAAACTGTTCTTGGCTGTTTTATACTTTTATAACAGCTGTTGCAAGCAAAATTAAATTTAAATTCTTTACGTTTTCTTTCGGCACTGGCCGAAGTTTGACATATAAGAGTTGATCTGTAGGTGGGACAAATTGTAAATGACTTTCAGCTGAATGTTTCTCCTCAGTTCGAAAGGTGTGAAAAACTGTGTGATATTTCTGTTCATATGCTGTGCAAAATATAGTGAATCGGCAGCACGAGGAAGCACTATGATTTAGTCTCAGACAATTAAAACAAAGATTTGCTTTTAGCACGAAATTCTAATGTTAATCAATGTTTATTTTAAGAAATGTTTCATATTTATGCAAAAGTTATAGTAATTGGTAAAGTACACAGGAATCCTGGTTCAATTTTACACTTGTTTTAAGAGCAAAAGTTTTTGTTAACGGATTTTACCAATCGAATTTCCCTATACAATCTGAAGGCTTCTAGCTTGTTTGTATAAAAAAAACATTTTTGAAAGCTTTCAGATTTTGTATTACGCTCAAAGGGGCTTTTTGTTTTCATTTACGAATACATACACGTTTCCACATCCTTTCGGCTAACGCCATATTGTGCTAAAAAAATAATAATAAATAAAAATAGCGTATCTTTAGAATTTCCGATAGACCGGCTGGCTCACTGGAGAATTTTTTTTTATTTCTATTAATGTTGCACTCTGCTCGCATTGAAATTGTTGAGATTTTTAATCAAAAATTCGTTAAATGTTTCACAAATTATGAAACAGACATTAAAACAAATTCCAAATTCTGGCTTCCAGGTGTCCATGTTCGGGTGGAGGACTGTTCAAAATTTTATGACTTTACGTACCGCTATTTTTTTTACAACGCGAGAAACATACATATATTCATCATTATTTAATTTCTTCAAATATAATACAGCGTGATGATATTTGGTGGCATCAATCTGAAAAGTTATTCGACGGAAATTGCTGTATTGAGACTAATAGTACCTCTTGGGCTCAAGCAGATTTGGGCTAAAAATAAAAAAATCCTTATTCTCTAGCGTTAATTCGCATTGTAACACATTTATTACCAGAATTTCCACAAACTGGTTGCATTCTAGACCAAGTGTTTTAAATCTAATTAATTCCTTGCTGATATCTGTTATCATTCGAATGGAATCAGATGTTGGTTTTACAGATTTTAGATTAAATAATCTTCTACACAGATAAATTCCTGATTCTCTCTGATTATCATATCTGTAAACTAAAATATCTCATGCATTTTTATAATTCTAAGAGATTATTGCGAATTCCCTGATAAGTTTTGCAGTATCGGACAAAACTACGCTTCTAAGATATTGCAATTTTTGAATATCAATTAGAGAATTAGAGATTCATTAGAATCACTTGAATTTAAAAATATATTTTTAAAATTCAACCAAGATTAAAACACGCTAGAAACTGTTGGAAGAAGAACTTCGTAAGTTTTCTATTCACGTAGGATGTGGCAGATTTTTTAAAAATCTCTTGTTATCATTGAACTGTACGTTTTATGAATCAAATTCAAATGTTTTTTATTTTCACTAACGATTCATCTGCGAAAACCTGAGACTCAGATTCTTTATCAAAATCATCAGGAATAGAATATCGATAACAATATTCTTCAAGCACGTCACGACATTTCTGTAGATTTGTTCTTAACGTAATAATTTTCTCTAATGTTAATGTACGACAACAGTTTCAGAAAATCTTCCGGTTTGTTTGATTTCAGTTCGATATATTAACGGAGTAGAAGATTTCCTTTTTGACATATTAACTTTATTCTAAAGAATAAATTAGTTACGTACAAATGTCATGCAAACTTCAAATATGTATTTGAAAATTTAGGAACTAGAACTTGGGAACGAATTTTACTGCCGTCTACAGCCTTTGATATCAAAACATTATGAATACAACTAAAACTTCATTTATTTATCCTAAAATTTCCCTTATTTAAACTTCCTTCCTTTATTATTAAATTATGAAATAAAAATACATATTTCGATTTCTTTGTAAACCAGGTAATAATAGATCACTAAAACTGAGTTTTCGACTTTAAATATTACAAAATTTCTGAAAAATATCCTCAGTTGTGGCTCTAGTGTTTAGTGGAAAGGTTAATAGTTATTAAATAGCTTATCTTGAATTTTTATACTCTCCATTCAGTAGTTACCTGGAGTCGCTTGACTTTTCAAACGATAAATATATAAAGGATTTAGACTTTTTTATACGCACCAGTAGAATTTACATTTTTTAAACAACAATATTCGTGGAATATTGAATTCTTTGAAACTTGGAGGCACAACTGGCATTTAGCTGATTAAGCATAAACCAGTAATGTGGAGTATTACTTTAAGGCTGTGGCAGTTAATTTAATTAGTTTTTAAGCATCTAAGCACGCCGCCGATACTGATTCCTCTCTATATGTGCATATTTATATACTGCCAAAAAAGCAAAATAATAATACACAAAAGTAAATGGTGCGGCGGCAGTCAGCGCCACCTTTAGAGATGATAAAATAAGACATAAAAATATTTTGAAAATTAACACTGATAATTTAACTTAAGTTCAAACCCAGGTGAATGAGCTAGCTATATGGTTGTTTTATGTGATTTTTCTCTATTTAACGTGAATACGAGCCAAGGTCTTCGCGAAGCGATCCATTCCCTCAGGCAGATAGACTTCATATGTTTTGCAATATTCAAATATCTAACCCAAACTAAACTCAGAATCGAACTGAATCGCGGTTTTTGTCGAAGGGTCTTATATTATTTCATCATGGGTCTTATGTTATTTTATCATGGGGAAGGGTACTGTAGGAATTATATGGAAATATTCGTGTTATTTTCCAATTGTTGTTGACTTGGAGACAAATTTTTTTGCCAGTGTCCTTTGGATTTAAAGTAACTATTCACAAAATTCTAATGTTTATTTGCACACACAACACACACAAAAAAAAAAACAAAAAAAAACAAAAACAAAAAAAAAAAAAATCTGAAATGTTTCAGATTTTAAATTACGTCCAAAGGGGCGTTTTTTAACATTTTGTGTGTTACCTTTCTTTATTAAATATCATGTTCCTCGCACTTAAACCATAAGATCCAGTGCAACAGCAATATCGCAAAATAGTTTTAAAACGAGCATATCTTTAGAATTTCCGATACAGAGACTCACGCGCTGGAGATAAAAAATGTTTTTTCTGCACAACGTTGCCATTGCTCGCTTTGAAATCCTTGAGTTTGTTAATCAAAAATTCGTCAAAGTTTTAAAAAATAGGAAATCGATCATAAAACAAATTTCAAATTTCAAATTTGGTCTTCCACATGCTCATATTCGTTGGAGGATTACGTTATTCAAAATTCGATGACTCTATGTACCGTTGTTTTATCACAATACGAGAAATATACATACATTTATGCAGATTTTTCATTATTTAATTTCTTCAAATATAATGCAGGAACTCTAACATTTTGTGGCAACAGTTTGAAAAGTGAACCGACATTTATGAGTCCGACGCAAAATGCCAAAACGAAACTATAGTCCTTTGGGATTCAAATCCCTTTGGACTAAAAAAAAAAAAAAAAAAAAAAAGAACTAGTTCGAAATGAACTAAGTAAACACATAAAAATTAAAAATAAACAAAATACCGAAGAAATATGCATGAAAGACAAAATACAAATACAAAATAAAAATACGTAATGATATGATAAAATTCGAAACAAATACAAATTTAAATATAAACAAAACATACATAAATTTATATTTGTATCAAAACATTATACATTGAGTTCTTACCTTCTGCATATTTCTGCTGCTCTCCGCCACGACCGCCTAATATTGAAAAACCTATAGCACTGATCACTGCTTTGTGACCAACCTAAAAAATAAAGTAAAATTAGTTATAAGCATTCAATTTCAATACTGCATTTTATATTTACACCCATAACTGTAATATAATAAACATATAACGAAAGAGAAAAGAAAGAAAAAATCAGAAAATTCATTTTACCTCCATTTTGCGTGTAATTATACTGTTTTGATTATATATTCCCATATGAAAACTTCTCATAAAAGCACTATCAAAATACCTATAGACCTCTACAGATAATCCTGTATGGAAATACTTCTCTATAAAATTCTATTGAAATTTTATACTTTCACAGAACAGAGTTCTATAAAAAGTTATTTTGCTTAATCTCATAGAAATTTAATAAAACTTTGTAGAATGGTATTCTATAGGCATCTCTTCAAGTTTTCAAACTGTAATCAAAGAAATTTTTTAGTTTCTGATGTATTATATGAATATAGAAGAACAGAAATAAATATTTTTTATTCAAAACTGTTAAATGATACTGTTACGAATTTGGTATTTAAAAAGCTAATGTTAGTTCAATTATAAATTAAATGGTTTTATTTCTCGCGCAGTGCAGCGCGTGACGAATATTAAAAGCAAGCTAAGCCGGAAAATTGAAAATACAAGAGCGCGTGCATTAAATAAATAAATATCTCTTTTTGATTTCGAGAAAGTACTGGAAAATTCTAGCGCGTGATTTTAAAATCTTATAAAAGGAGGAAAACATCTCAGTTTGTAGTAGTTGCTTAGTTTGTTGTTGTTTAGAAAACTGCTCTTGTTGATTGTAGCGAATTCGCGGATTAGCGTTCTTTAGCTGTTTTGAATTACGTTCTATTGGACATTTGAGTAGTTAAAAGATAACTACTGTGAGATATTGTAATACTGCATGATAATTTGAGAAAATTTAAGCATTTTTGTTGTGATAATAATAAATTTTTGTTCATTTTTCATCGGACTTGTGCATTCATTTCATAACGAATCCGTACGCACGCAACAATTTTTGGTGTCAGAAGTGGGATTTGAATGCCAATAACAAGAGCGATGGAAGAGCAATTAAGGCAATTGATAACAGCCTTTGCCTCGTTTAAAGAAGAAATGAAAGAAGAGATGAAATCTAGCCAAGGAAAGATGGAAGGGGCCGTCAACTCCGTTAAGGAAGAAATGAAATTGGGCCAGGAATCTGTTAAGGACGAAATGAAAGCCGTTCAAGCTGGTTAAGAAAAGATTGAAGCAGATCAAAGAAATGAAAAAAGAGAGAATTACCTGCATAATAGAAAATAAATTTGAAGCTATGGAAGGCAGGCAGAATTGACACAGTTGAAAATAAAGTTGGACTAATTGAAGAAAGAGTTTCTTCGGTGAAAGAAGAAATAGAAGAAAGAGTTTCTTCTGTAAAAGAACATATAGAAGGAGAGAGTTTCTGCTGTGGAGGAACGAAATGAAGGAAGAGTTTGTGCCGTCCAACACCAAATCGAACAACAAATTGATGAGAGAGTTTCTGCCAGTTGCCAAAGAATGGATACTTTAAAGAAATTCGTAGCGTCGGCAGGGAGCAGGAGTGATGATTTTAAATTCTTACCGATGCCTGCTCGTCCACCTCTGAAGCTATCCACATATGATGGGAAGACCTCCTGGCAGGTGTATAAGACACAATTTTCTATCGTGGCGGATGCGAATGGATGGGATTCCCAAGCTAAGGCCTGTCATCTCGCCGCTTCTCTAAGAGCCGACGCAGCGGATATCCTTCAGACTCTTCCCGAAAAAACAAAAGGTTAGATTTCGAAGCTCTGTCCGGCGCCTTGGAGTTGCGCTTTGGGGAGAAGTGTTTTAAAAGACTACAGCAGGCTCCAATTAAAATCCTCGTCAACAGAAGCCTACCGAAACACTTCAGGAGCTCGCCGCGGATGTTGAAAGGCTGTCCCATCTCGCCTTTTCGGAATGCCCGACAGAAACAAGGGAAATCCTGTCCTTGCAATACTTTATCGACGGCATCCGGAGATACTGAAATACAGAAAGCTCTACGAATGGCGGATGTAAAAGATTTAAAAAGTGCTCTAGTGTACGCCATGAAATTTGAGGCAGCCCAGCAAGCCACTCGTCGAGACCGCCACCCAGTCAGAGCTGCTCAAGTCCAGGAGCCAGGGGATCAAGTCACCGCTCGACTTGACGATTTAACTAGACAACTGAACGCCTTGAGACGGAATATTGGTGAGAAGAAACCGACCGTTAAGTGCTGGAACTGCGGTGCTGAAGGACACATACGACGACGAAACTGCAAAACACCCCAGGGTACTGATGTTAAGACCGCTTCTAACAAGCAGCAGGGAAACTAATTAGTGGCCATCTCGCGGGGCGGAGGTTGCCAGATAATGAAAAGCCCCGTTTAAAGCGCTTCAGATTTCTGCAGTGAGAGGCGGCAGTAATGGACTTTTCATAATAGGACATATTAATGGAGTTCCGTGCAATATGACTATAGATACAGGAGCCAACGTCACCATCATCCAAAAAGATTTGGCTCAGCAACTAGGAAACAAACTTATCTGGACGCCGCCCTGCGTTACCCTCCAGACTGTGTCCGGTGAGAAGATCGACATCGACGGAAAAGTAAATGTTAACATCACGTTTGGAAGTGCCGCTTACCATCACACGGCATATGTAGCAGAGATCACTGATTCTTGCATACTCGGATTGGACTTTCTAAGGAAATACAATTTTTCCTTGGATTTTAAAAATAACGAATTGCATTCTACATCTGAGGACATAGCGTTATTTCTCGTTAATGATGAAGAAGTTAAATCTGTCCATAAAATCATAGCACAAGACTATATCACAATACCGGCAAGAACAGAAATTTTACTTCCTGGATCCATAGCCGAAAATAGAAATTTCCGCTACGGCATCATAGAATATCCCAATAACTGTAATATCCCAAAAGGAGTACTAGTAGCCTCAACACTCGTCGACCTATCCAGAACGGTTATCTTCGCCAATGTAACTGAAAAGTCGAGAGTTATTAAGAAAGGTGAAGTGGTTGCAACATGTACTCCAGTAACCAGCGTTGAAAGAAAGAGTAACATCCCAGAATCCGTGTCCTCAGAGAGCATTACATCGGAGTTATTGCAGAATGCACAATTAAACGATAAAGAGAAAAATGCTGCCGATCGCGTCATTAAAGATCTTCAAGTTGTTTTCTCCCGCTCGTCTTCTGACGTGGGTCGAACTAGTTTGACACAACATAGAATAGATACTGGCGATCATCCCCCGATCAAGCAACATCCAAGACGTCTACCGTTTGCTAAACAGGAAGAGGTGCGAACACTGTTAAAAGATATGGAAGAAGGCGATGTCATCGAGCCTTCAGCGAGTCCATGGGCATCTCCCATCGTTCTCGTCAGAAAGAAAGACGGCTCAACAAGATTTTGCGTTGACTATCGCCGGTTGAATGAGGTTACGAAGAAAGACAGTTACCCTCTTCCTAGAATTGATGACATTCTAGACACTCTTTCTGGAAGCAAGTGGTTCTCAACACTTGATTTAAAGAGTGGGTATTGGCAGGTAGAAATCCATCCTGATGACCGAGAGAAAAGACGGCATTTACTACGGGACAAGGACTTTGGCAGTTCAAAGTGATGCCGTTTGGACTGTGTAATGCGCCGGCAACATTCGAACGTCTTATGGAGACTGTTTTGAAAGGCCTTTCCTACGAAGCCTGTCTGATATACCTGGACGATATCATCATCGTCGGAAAGAGTTTTGAAGAGCATCTAGAAAATCTTAGAAAGGTGCTTCAGAAACTGAATGAAAGAGGCCAATCTGAAGCTGACTCCCGCTAAATGCAAATTGTTTCGAAAGGAAGTGACTTACCTGGGACATGTCATCTCTGCAGAAGGTGTGCGCACGGATCCTGAAAAGGTATCAGCGGTTAAATCCTGGACGCGTCCCGAAAATGTCCATCAGCTGAGAAGCTTCCTAGGGCTTTGCACCTACTATAGGAGATTCGTGAAGAACTTTTCTTCCATCGCAAGACCACTTCACAAGCTGACAGAGAGCAAGCAAAGATTCTTGTGGACAAAGGAATGCGAGGATGCATTTAACAACTTAAAGGAAGCTTAAGCTTTAACATCTGCTCCAATCCTGACGTATCCTCAGCTCGACAGACCATTTATTCTCGACACCGACGCGAGCAATGAAAGTGTCGGTGCTGTTTTGTCCCAAGAAATAGACGGCCAAGAACGTGTAGTAGCTTACTGGAGCAAGTGCCTGTCTAAACCGGAGAGGAATTACTGTGTCACAAGGAAAGAGTTGCTCGCCATAGTCAAAGCTGTAGAACATTTCCATCATTATCTATACGGGAGAAAATTCCTCCTCCGCACGGACCATGCCTCATTGGCCTGGCTTTTAAATTTCAAAAATCCTGAGGGTCAAATAGCCAGGTGGATACAGAGACTCCAAGAATATGACATCACTATCCGTCATCGTAAGGGATCATCACACGGAAACGCCGACGCCCTGTCTAGAAGACCTTGCCAAGAAAGCTGCCGATATTGTTCCAGGGTGGAAGCGAAATACGAGCTGCTGACTCCGGTCGCAAGACAACAAATTACAACATCAACATCGGCTGATCGAGACCCGTGGAGTGATGATGAAGTCAGGAAAGACCAGCTGGAAGACCGCGACATTAAACCCATACTTGATTTAATAGAGTCATCAAACAGAAAACCTACATGGCAGGACATTTCTATCTGTAGTCCTACAACAAAACAATACTGGGCACTCTGGGATTCACTTCACATTCGAAACGGCGTCTTATACCGGAAATTCGAGTCGGATGATGGGAAGACGTTCCGATGGCAACTGATACTTCCAAGATCCCGGATTCCTGATGTCCTCAAAGAACTACATAACAGCCCTACAGGAGGTCACTTTGGAATTATGAAGACCTTACAGAGAGTTCGTGAGCGCTTTTACTGGAATAATGCAAAGAATGACGTGCAAAAGTGGTGCCGATCTTGCGATGCCTGTGC